AGTCCCTTATCTTTGGAGTCTGCTTTTCAGTTTTCATCTTCTGTTTGTAGTTGTTTCTCTTGTGAGCCTCAGACTCCCCTGAGGGGTAAGGAGAACAAGCGTTGCCTCACTCTCACTTTTATAGATGAGCACCTGGAGGTCCAGCCCGGGTGCCGTGTCTGAGTGCATAGAGCTCATTTGTGGAGAGCTGGCACTGGGCCCCAGCCTCTCTACTGCGTCCCCAGGGAGGCCCCAAGCCCCGGGAAAGGGGCAGGTGCAACGGTGGGTCCTTCCCCGCCCAGAGCCAGCGCCAGTCTGGAGACCCCACCCCTGGCCTCGGCCTCCCCCGCCCTGATTCAGGAAGTCCAGCACCCAGGCCTCTGAGGTGCCTCCCATCCTCAAGGCTCCTGCTTTATCAGAAAACCGCTGCTTAAACATTTCTCCTTCTGCTTTGGGGAAACGTTGGCAGAAATGGAGGACAGAGCTGAATCAGCATCGCAGAACCGTGGGAGGAATTGGGCCTCCATGTAGGAATAGGCATTAGGAAGGTGACACAGAGAAAAACCCCATCTCTGCCCCTTACCACTGGAGGACGTGGAGGCTGGTGGGTGAGAGCAGGTGCAGCGGTCTTCAGCTGCATGATAACATGGTAACATGTTCACTGCCTAACTCTCTACCCATCCTCCATCCACACTCCCTCCCTGCTGTCTCAAGATGGGCACGTGCAGCCTGTCTGATTTAGGGGCTCTGTTGTCGTTCAGTTGCTCAGTCATGTCCATCTCTTTGAAACCCCATGGACCGCAGCACGCCAGGCTTCCCTGTCCTTCACCATCTCCTGGAGCTTGCTCAGACTCATGTCCATTGAGTCAGTGATGCCTTCCAACCATCTCATCCTCTGTCGTCCCCTTCTCCCCCTGCCAGTGTCAGGGTCTTTTCCAATGAGTCAGCTCTTCGCATCAGGTGGCCAAAGTATTGGAGCTTCAGCTTCAGCATCAGTCCTTCCAGTGAATATTCAGGGTTGATTTCCTTTAGGATGGACTGGTTTGATCTCCTTGCTGTCCGAGGGACTCTCAAGAGTCTTCTCCGGCACCATAGCTCGAAAGGATCAGTTCTTCAGTGCTCAGCCTTCTTTAGGAGCTTAATGCAGGCCAATCCCAACAGGCTTCCTGAAGAATGCAGGGAGGTTGCTGGACTCTGGGAATGGCAAGGGAAATGGATGGAGGGGACCCTCATCACCATGGAGAGCAAGTGTACATGTGGGAGCTTGGCAGCCTGATGGAGCCAGAGAATGACTCTGAATCTCCGCAGGGAGGGCTGCTCAGGTGGGGCCGCTCAGAAACGGGTTCGTTTGGGTAGAGACCAGAAGAGCTGGTGCCCTGGACCGTGGCCCCAGCCCCAGGGACCCGTCTCGCCCAGCTCTGGCCCCGAAAGAAAGACTTTCCATTCCCCTTCCCAGGAAACCCCCTCGCTTACGGGAAGCTGGGTGTTATCTTAAGGTCTGTAAACGGCCTGCCTGCTTTTCCAGCTGGAGCTGTTCATTCAGGACAATTAGCACGCAGTTTAAGAGCTCGAATGGAACATATGGCGGGGGTCCCCACGAATGAGAATGTGGCAGCCTGAGAAGAAGGGGAGCGGCCTGGCTAGGAGCTGAGGGGTGTTTGGAAAGGGGGTGCTCTAAGCAGGTACCCCTGCTCTCTCTGTTGGAGGGAGCAGAATTGTGGACTTGCACATACGCCTTCTGCATCCCAGGTCGTGACTGCATCCGACGTCCCTTAAGCCGGTACTTTGTCAGGAGACTGGAACAGCCCCGTGAGCCTGGGGGATGTCCTCCTCTGGGCAGCTTCAGGGTAGATGCCCAGGGTCTCTCTTGGGTAAAGGTGGGGATACTGAGGAGCTCCTGTTTATCCAGACATCCCTGGACGTTCATTCATTCCCTAAATGCTGCAAACACTGATGGCAGGGGCTACTCTGTGCCAAGAACCATCCCAGGTGTTAGAGAGACATTGTGGGGGTGACACACCTAGACCCCTGCCCTCGTAGAGTTTCCACTCTAACAGGGAACTTCAGACGTGGTGCAGCGGTCAATTGCAGATTTGCCTTCCCAACTGACAAGGTCGGCACTGTGATAGCCTTTTTACATGCAAGCAAATGGAAACTCAGAGTTTGTAAAAACCTCTTCAAGTTCTCCGAGCTAGGAAGTGGTGAGGTCTGGATCAAAACCCATTGGCCCCATGCCAATGGCGCTCACCTGACCTCAGGGGCAGACAAGACGCCCCAGCCCACACGGCTGGCCTCCAGGTGGTCTGCACCGCCGTAGGATCACTGACTCCGGTGCAGGGAGGTATACGGACTGCTCTGGCTTCACTTTCCCAGAGGAAAAATGGCTCCTGGAGGTTTAGTGACCTGCCTAAGGTCAAGTCCAGTCACACTGTCATCCAACAGGAGCCTGGCAGTTTTTTCTAGGGAAGCACGCTAGCTTGTCAGTTCTCAGCATGCCTGCAGCTGTGTTCCTATTAAGATCCAGCCCCCTGCCAGCTCCGGAGGCCAGGCACCCCCCATCCAGGTCCCCCTGCCCTGCCTGTCCCGGGTCAGAGGGACCCACGGGCTGGACAGGAACTGACTCCCCAGGCCCAGGATCTGGCGACTCCAGGGAGGGGGCCGCTAAGCAGTGTGGCTGCGCCACCCCCAGCCCGAGTTTGTGCTCGAAGGCATGACTGTAAACAGGTGTCAGGTGTCTTTCAGGGTCAGGAGCTAAATAGTACTCTGTCTGGAAGAAAAATTGCAGTAACAGCACCAGGGCAACTGCAGAGGTGAAGACGGGGGTGCGGGCGTGTGGGGGGAGAAGCAAACTGACCAGTGCGCAGCAGTTATGAGGCTTAAATTGAAGCCTAGGGCAGGTAAAGAACAGAGCTATAAATCCAGCCTCCTGAAGGAAGATTCTGGAGATAGGAGACACGAGTTCACTTAAAATATGTCTGAGATGAGAACCAAAGATCGTTATTTTTGAGTAAGGATATAAAATGCTAAACACTGCCTTTATTAGTCCTTTCTAAAAGCCAGGTGTAAAATACTGCCATTCCCAAGATCGTGTTTTCCCTTTTTTTGTCTTTTAATGGCAGAAGTTAAAATCTCCTTAAGTCATTAGCCGTCACTCCTCAAGGTGAGCCCGCAAAGCAGTTGTGCCAGGGACCCCTCCCCTCACCCAGGGGGCAAGCTGGCCGCCCCCTAAGCCTCACACACCTTTCCCCAGCCCTCCCTGGCTGGCACCAAGTGCCCGCCTGGCAGCAGGTGGCTGAAAAGACCAAGAAGTTTTATGGGTCTGCCCCAGTAGACCCTGTCTCCCACCAGTCGCCAATTTGGCCGGTTGCTCCCTGCTCACAAATACCTAATGCTGAAGATATTCGGCCCCTGGAGCGCAGCCAGGCGGGCCTTCCTGGGGGTGAGCAGCTCACTGGCTCAGTCCGGGGTACTCTCAGATGGCACTTCTGCTCCCCATGCCGGCTCTCTTTCTTCCTTCCCACCCTGTCTTTCTTCCTTTTCTTTTTCCTTTTCTTTCCATCAAAGGCTGATGCTACCAGAGAAAAAGTTCATAAAAATGTTATGTCCACCATAAAACCCCTAATGTGGCATTCTGCATGATCCATGCATTAACATTAACATTTCCCAGACAGTTATTGTGAGATAATGGTCCCAGCCATAATTCAGCGGCAGCGTTCCTTCGAGCAAATGTTATGGAGGAATAAATGACTTGCCGAGTGTGCTGCTGCATTGGGGCGGGGGGGGGGGAGGTGAGCGGCTGGAAAATGCAGACTCTGGACCTTTGAGACCCCAGCATGGCTGCAGAGAGGTCTGGGGCTCATTCTAAGTCTGACCACGGACTCTCTATGGACCATGAGGCCAAGCCCTTTACATTCTGTCCCTGTTCCCCACAGTCTCCATCCTTCTTCTCAGGGCTATATTAGGAGGATTGGCCAGGGAAAAGGATGAGAGGCTCCAGGCTCACATGCAGGGCTGAGAGGGTGATGAGTGGTTTCAGTACCTTGACCAGCAGCATCCTTCTTTCCTTCACTGCCCCTGTGGCCCAGCACACCACCCTCACCTCTGGTATAGCACTTACCACCTTGGGTTTTCATTATCTATTTACATGGCTGTGTCCCCTGCTGTAACTGTGCCCTCCATATAAGCAGCAAACACATCTTAGTCTCTTTGGTGACCTAGCACAAAGCAGATGCTCATTATGTGTTGGTTAAAAGTGGGGATGCATGGATGATGGATAGGTAGATGGATGGATAGTTGGATGAGTGAGAGCAACAGAAAAAGATCCAGAAATGGAAGCAGGCCATAAGATGAACAGGATTTGATGTATGTGATAAAGGAGGAAATACCTAAAACAACATTTATGGAGCAAAATCATAAGTGTGTGGGCTCAAGTGGGCCTTCAGGGCTTGCCACTGTGCTTCTTTTACTCTTCCTGAACAGGATACCTAGAGGGTTGGGCTCCAGACCAGGACTAGAACTCTGGACCACAGGTTCAGCACTCTATCACCTGTCATCTTGCCACTGACACGCAGGCTAGTTATATGCAAGAGAACCTTTCTCTATTCTCAAGGGGCTTGCTTCCTAGTGCAGGGGACACATGAGGCACAGAATCGACTTAGCGGGTGAGCCCGCAAAGTGGTTGTGCCAGGGACCCAGCCCCTCACCCAGGGGTCAAGCTCATGGCGAGTGCCACAGTGGGAAACGTCCTCAACCGGGAGACTAAAGGGCGGGACAAAGGATCCGGGCCTTGGAGGATGAACAAAACCAGAAAAGGCAAACCTGGAGGCCAGGGAGCACATTTGAGAAGAGGGAGCCATGTGGGCGAAGGCACAGAGATGGCTGGAAATAAGGATCCTCGCAGATGCGTAATTCATACCCCCGGGTGTTGAGCGCACGATCCCGAGAGACCATTTGACTCTTAGGTCGGCCTTCCTTAGAACCCGCCCCTTCTCTGCTCCTTGCTGCTCCCTCCTGACCAGTTATCAGCTTGTGGTCATGCTCTCAGCCGCATGGCTGGCTCTCCGGCTTGTGCCCAGGCTGGGCCCTCCCGGCGCCACCAGCCCTCCCGGGTCCGTGGATGGCAGCTGCGTCCTGGTCTTCTCTGCTACCTCTGCCCAGTCCCGCTCAGGCTCCGGGGGAAGGTCCAGCAGGAACCCACCTTCCTTCCTGAAGTGCTGGGAGTGGGGATCTCTGTGAGGAGCACAGAGGGAGCATGAGGGCTCTCTTCCAAATGCCACACGTCCTGACGGCTGTGATCTTTCCCAAGAGCAGTGCCCAGAATGCAGGACCAGATTTATTATGCTGGCGAAGGAGATGGCAACCTCTGCAATGCATTCAAGGGACCCTGGAGAGGCTTGGCCCCAATCAGAAACACCTTCCTCGCTCAGGGATCTCATCATGTCCTAGAGCCAGTGGGGGCCTCGGAGGTCAATGGGTTTAACCTGCCATACCGTGAAGGCACCTCCAGCAGCCGACTTTCGTCCCCTTCCTAATAACTCCTGGGGAGGGCGGCTCTTCCTGCTGGGGCAGCTCTCACTGGTAGAACACCCTCCTGTGATGGGGAAATTTGTCTCTGTCATCTCCACCTCTCTATCTCAGTTCTGCCTTCCAGGCAGCCCCATGTGAAACCAACATGTCCTCGGCACATGCTGCTGCCGTGTTGTGTGTGTGTGTGCTCAGTCGTGTCTGACTCTTTGCAACCTCGTGGACTGTAGCCCACCAGGCTCCTCTGTCTATGGGATTCTCCAGGCAAGAATACTGGAGTGGGTGCCATTTCCTCCTCCAGGGGATCTTCTCAACCCAGGGATGGAACTCCTGCACTCTTGCATTGCAGGCAGATTCTTTGCCACTGGGCCCCTTTACCACCTGGGAAGCCCCTCCTCTGGTTAATGGTTCTTTAAATATTGAAGATAATACACACGCCTCTCCCCAGGTCTTCTGTTCTGCAGGTCTCTACCTTTCTCTGGCATCCTAGCCTCCCTCCCCAGATGCACTGCTGATGATCAGTGCTCCCCTTCGGACGTAAACACAACCCTCCAAAGTGGTCTGAGCCATTACCCCCTTCACCTGGACTCATAGGAGTGCAGCCTCAGATTGCAATTACCTTTTTATTGTTTTTGGCAGCCAGATGATAACACTGGTACCTATTGAATTTTTTTCATATGTGATGCTTTTAAGCTCCATCTCCCTCACTTACACTGTCTGCATTTTACTCTCCCAGTATAACTTTATATTTCTCTCTGTTCGACATCATCGCCTTGCTTTCAGCCTATGTTTCCTGCCTCACAAGCTTTCAATCTTAATTCTGTCTTTAAACACATTAAGTATCCCTTCAGTGTGTGGATGATAGACACACCTTCTACAGTGGTATGCAAATTGTTGGTAACGATGTTCAACAACCCAAGCTGGTTATTTCAACATGAAAGATCTCCCTTCATGCTGAAATCTACTAATCAATACTGATTAGGGACAATCACAATTCTAGCTGAAAGTTCACCTACCACTTTTCCCATCCAACTTACTCCTTTTTATTGAAACATAGTAGACATGCAATATTGTGTTAGTTTCACATGTACTGCCTAGTGATTTGATATTTGCATGTATTACAAAATGATTCCTATGGTAGGTCTAGTAACTATTTGTCCCTATGCATCCAGCTTACTCTTCCATCTTATCCCATCTTATCCTATCCAGACAGATATTGTGGAAGATGTCACAGAGCTTGCTAAAATCAAGATAGGTCTTGGAATCTTCCTTATCTACCAGCCTAGGGATTCTAGGTATTTTTTAAGGGCAATAAAATTAGTTTGATGTGATTGTTTTTCAATGAAACTATTCTGGTTTTGGGTCATCACTTATTTCCTTCATAAATATTCCAATTTGGAATTTTTGTTAGCAATGAATATCAGACTTACTCTCATGTAGCTTCCAGAATCTAATGTTTACCACTTTAAGAAAATACAAATTCTGGGACTTCCCTGGCAGTTCAGTGGTTAAGATTTCACTTTGCAATGCAGGGACTGCTGGTTCAATCTGTGGAACTAAGATCTCACATACCTTGTGGCAAAAAAAAAAAAAACACAAAAAAAACATAAAACAGAAGTAATATTGTAACAAATTCAATAAAGACTTTAAAAAATGATCCACATCAAAAACATCTTTTTAAAAAAAAAAAGACAACACAACTTTTGCATCTTTCCATCTCTAAAAATGATTTCTTTCCATCAGTTCACAAATAGATAGTAGTGGTTCTACGGTTCGAAGTTCTTTCCTTACACAAAGATGTGATTTGCTGGTGTCTGTAGCCTTGATTTTATTTAAAGCTATAAGATGCTCGTTTACCATCTCTTCACCTATCTCAAACTTTGAAACCTTTATAAATCATTTTTCTGGCTTGATGATCGCTGTCCTTGAAGAAAACAAAGCAAAGTGGAAGTTAAATCATTTGCTTTCCTTCTGTCATCTGTAACCTCCTCCGTCTGCCCCAGGCTGTAGCCGCCTTCATCCCTTATTTTTGTCTCTTTCCGTTTGCTTCAAGTATTGCTTTTTTTAAGAGAGAGAAGAGAGGGAGCGCGTGAGGGAAGGGGTGCAGGGAGGAGAATGTTTTCAGTCTCCACTTCATTCTGGTCTTTGGCCTTCCCAGCGCACTTCTAACCGGTTCAGGCTACTCTGTGTCTTGTTTTTGTTGATAAGCCCCTCCTTTCATCTTCTGCACATGTGCTTCTAAGCCATCATGGAGCTCAGAACTGAAAATGCAGGCAAAAGATGTGATGTCCATTACATGTCTTATTCCCCATTAGAAAGACATAGGTCAAACCCTCCTCTCTTAAAAACATAATTAGCAATGCAATTCAGCCCAACCAATATTTCCTCTTTTGCCCAAGGCATAGTTCTAAATATAGTGGGTGATACAGAGGTGAGCAAGAATGTCCCCACAATGGACGAGGCAGACACGCAAATTGCCATAGCCCTAGACAGGATGAGATGAAGATGACAGTGCTGGCTTATACAAAGTGTTCCAGGAGTCCCAAAGGAAGAGGGACCATTTCTACCTGAGAAGATCAGGGCAAGATTCATGCAGGAGATAGCATCTGAAGTGGTCATGGAAGGCTGGAGAGTGTATCAGAAATCAGAGATGGAGAGAAGGCTGTAAATTCCTTAGGGGGGCACAAAGGTGAAGAAACAAGATGGTGTTTGCATAACAGCAGATGACTTTATGTAGCTGGACCACAGGGTCCAGCTGTAGGGTGGACTACAGCCCCAGACATGCATTCCAAGTTTTGTCCTTTACCGTGGTGCCCCATCCAAACACTGGCAGGGGAGTTTGGGGGAGAGTGGATGCATGTATATGTATGGCTGAATCCCTCCGCTGTTCATCTGAAACTATCACAACATTGTTTGTTAATCAGCCATACCTCAATACAAAACAAAAAGTTAAAAAAAAAAAAGAAACACATTGAGCACAACACACTCTCAAATAAACTCATCAACACCTCCTCTAAACCTATTCTTCCCCTGTTATCACTTCCCTCACCCACCTTTCTTGGTGACATCACCATGCTCCCAGTAAGTTGAATGCTGAACTTAGAATCAAAAGATCTCCACATGAATCTTGGCTCCAGCTCTTCACTTCTCTGAAACTTTATTTCTTCTCTTTCTTTTCTTGCCCATTTTGGCCGTGCTGGGTCTTCCTTGCAGCATGCACGAGGTGCATTGGGTGTGTCGGCTGTGGCTCTAGAACACACAGGCTCAGTAGCTGTGCGCGTGTTCTCTAGTTGGGGCACTCAGACTCAGTTGCGGGATCTTAGTTTCCCGACCAGGGGTTGAACCTGGGCCCCCTGCATTGGGAACACAGCGTCTTATCCACAGACCGCCAGGGAAGTTCCTGAGCCTCTGCTTCTTCATCTGTAAAGTGGGGGAACAGGGCCTGACTTCCCTCCTCACATAGGAGGGTCGTGAGGATGAGACGAGAGAACGTGGAAGGAACTGCTTTGTGAATGGTAGTGCTGTGGGGCCAGCAAGGGCACCGTCACTCTGATGATGCTGGTCCCTCCCGGGGCGGGAGCCCAGGGCGCTAAGTTGTCATGAATGAATCTGTGGTTTCCTGTGGGTGGTGCCCAATGCTGCTGTCAGTGTAGAAACTCGTGAAGGGAACTGGGAAGGTGAGTGGGGCCAGGTGGGGAGGCCAAAGACAAAGGCAGACATGTGGGCAAGGCTGCTCGGAAGTCACAGACCCAAGCCCGTTTGGGTTGGGGCTGTTTTTGAGACTCTTCCAAGCTGCGGGAGCTCATGCTGAATGCTGGGCTCTGCGGGAGGTCACCCTGCCATGCCTCCGGAAAGCAGGTTGTGAGGCGAATCAGGAATGTTCTCGGCGCCCTCCTGCAAGACTCCTAATGCAGAAAGGCAGCGTGTGGGAGGCGTGAAGGCAGGGCCAGAAGGTGCTTCAGGCCTCAGATAACTGCTGGTGCAGACACGCCATGCCCAGCCTGCCCACCTCCCCACCAGGAATCGAACCTGGGCCCCCTGCATTGGGAGCACAGAGTCCACCGCCCCACCTTGTGGGCCCTCTGGACATGGGGATGACAAAGCCACCGTCTCTGACCTCAGAGAAGGCCAGGGGAGATGCCAGAACTCTTAGCCCAAGATGGTTAAGTGCATAACAGAGGAGTGCTTGGGGGTCTCAGGAGCCACCAGCTGCCAGAGAGAAAGGATGCTCAGCAAAGCCTCCAGCGGAGAGAGTCCAGAGACATAGCGTGTGTGTCCAAGTAAATGAGGCCAGCATGGGTGTTCCAGGAAGAGCGGACAGCAGACAGACGCACGGGGCACAAGGTATTGTGTTGAGAGCCTAGAAATGCCTGTTTACACTGTGTGGTTGGATCATGGAATGATGTGAGGGAGGGAAGAGACAGCAGAGCTGGGAGCATGGACAGTACGGGAAGCAGAGAGTAAAGTACCTTTGCAGTGAAATATAAGATGTGACAGAAAGGAGGTGAGAGAAGGGGAAGGAAGGAAGACGAGGAGGTGAGGGTGTCTCCAGGTTTTTTTCTTTTCAAAAAAAATCTTATTTATTTATTTACTTGGCTGCACCGGGTCTTAATTGTGGTAGGTAGACTCTTAGTTGCAGCATGTAGACTCTTAGTTGTGGCATGTGGGATCTTTGTTCCCTGACCAGGGATGGAAGCTGGACCCCCTGCATTGGGAGCGTGGTGTCTCAGCCACTGGACCACCAGGGAAGTCCCCAGGTTTCCTTCTTGAGTGCCTGCAGCAACAGTGATGCCATTCATCCAGAGTGAGGAACAAACATGGGGAGCCTGGGCAGAGTGGAGACGATGGGGCTCACAGCTGGGCGTGGTTGAGTTTGGGGTACCCGGTGACATGGAATATCTGGACCACATCCTCCTTCCTTCAGTCGTGCACCTAAATCCTGCTGTCCTGACTAGAATCAGCTGCACTAGAGCCCTTGAGGGCAGAGACTGGATCCTACTCACCTCTGTACCCAGGGCTGGCATGTAGCATGAGGCCTCCATGGTTACACGCCATCTCTTTACCGTCTCTGCCTGAGTTTCTTCATGCACTCAAGAATGCCTCAAAAGGCAGTACGGAAAAGCAGACAAACCCAGTGATTCCAGGCTGTACCCCGACCAGGCTTGGGGTATGGAGTGTGCTGCTTGACCTGGTAGGGCACAGGGCGCGCTCTGATGTCTGTGCTGTCTGGTTTGGTGACCACCAGACACATGTGTCTATTAAAATTACAATGAAATTAAATTACAAATTCAGTTACTCAGTTGCAACAACCACAATGCAAGTGCTTATGAGCCATGTGGTGTCTACGGTATTGGATACTATGAACAGAGGAGATCTCGCTGAACAGAGATCCCCCTGCAGAGAGTTCTGTGGGGCGGTGCACGTGAGCATCACCTCACAGGGTCCCCGAAGGTCAACAAGGTCATGTGTGAAAGGTGGGCGAGACGGCTGGCTCACGGGAACCTTCAATAAACCTCGGCTGTAATATTCACAGTGAATGGGGAGACAGTCCAAGATGCAAAGCTACAGGTGCCTGTGAGTGCCAATATGACAGTCCCTGGCTTTGGGAACAATAAATATTCATGTCAGGGAGAGCTGACAGGACCCCAACAGGCACTTTGAGAATTTTACGAGAGGCAATTCCTCAGGAACCTCCGGAAAGAGGCACTTGGGGGACCTCAGATGATCTCAGGAAAACTGCGGGAGGTGCCTACCGTGACATCATTTCCTTGTGAATCTGGGTGTGGGTCGGCTCTGGGTCCCGGACTGTAGCAGATGGGCTGGGACCTGGGGGTGGGAGGGGAGTGTGGCCCCTGACTCCAAAGTCCATCTGCGGTGTAATAGCGGGAAAGGCATGGAGCACGCGTCCAGATGGCCCGGCGGTGTCTCTTCCTGAGCGCGTGCTGCCTCTCTGCAGGTTCCTGCCCCTCTTTTGTGCCCTGCGTGTCTGGGGCCAAATGAGCAGGATCTGTCACTGACCTGGGAGTCAGCAGGGAGGGTGGAGGGGTTGTGTCCAGAGGCCCCCCGGGCAGCTGGGACAGAGGAGGAGGCAGCGATGCTGGGAGGCTCCTATTCTCAGGGGCCATCACAGCAAGCCTCATCTTCCATCCCTGAGCTGAGCACCAGCCTGGACCAGAAGGCAGAGATTTCCCAGCGAGTAGTCCCAAGGTCCCCCGGCCCATCAGACAGCCCTGGCTGAGGGCCTCTGATAGACCGACACGGGCTGATCCCTGATCCGCTGCATCCCTGAAGGCAAAAGCAGACTATTCGCCTTGGCTGAAAAGCAGGAGTGGGGGAGGGCAGTCTGGCGCAGTGGGAAAGCCCCAGGCTGCCAGACTCTGGGCTGGACATGCACTCTCCCTGACCCTCCGTGTGGCCGCGGAGTCAAGCCCCTCCAATCCGGGGGCTGGACAGGTCATCTGAAAGTCCGTCCAGCTCCCTGTTCTACCACAGCGTGTGGAGGTGGCGAGGAGGGGGTGGGAGTGGGCTGCGGTTTTCCTTGGGTTGAGACCTACTCACAGACAGAGATTGTCTTCTCATCGAGGAGCCCTGAGCGGCCCTCCACCCCCGCCGCCTCCCTCCTCTGCTTCCTAGCAGGATGGATTGAGGCAGTGTGGAGAAATCCGAATAACTAATCAGAGTCCTCATTAACCCCCTGCCAGGATGCTCAAACATTCACTTTGCTGTTTGTGAAGCAGAAAAAAAAAAAAAACCCTCTCCCTACATTAAAATTGATACGTTATTAATCCCTGTGCTCCTGACCTGGGGGCCTGCTCGCCCCATCCTGCCTGAGGCCCAGCGGCTGGGTCGCTACCTCGGGCCACTTGCACTTTCTATTATTTATCAGCCCCGCGCAGAGAGGCCTCTCTTCACAGCAGCAGGCTTGGTGCCAGCTTGGAGGCAGCCGCTTTGTCTTCTCCCTGGTGGGCTGGGCCCCACCCCGGGGTGCAGCTGCCAGGCTGCTGGGGTGGATGAGTAGGTGAACAGAGGTGTGGACGTGTCTTTCTCTGACCTGGGAGGGTGCAGTGAGCTGCTCTATGTTTCAGGTGAGCCAGCCCAGGGAGCAGGCAGCCTCTTAGTCTAGCACCGGGCTGAGAAGGTCTGAGGGTTGGTCTGGCCCTTTCTGCACATCTCGGCCCACAGTGCCCCATGGGCTCCCTGGCACCACCCACACCAGGCCTGAATGCCATCCTCTGGCTCTGCATCTAGGCAGGCAGCCCGCACACCCTGCACATCAGAACAAGAATCTACAAACATGAGTCCTGTGCTGCACCTTGAACCAGGAGCTCTGGGGAACCAAAACCATTAGGGCCCAGTTCCTGCCCTCCAGGAGATTGCCCTGCAGTGGGGTCAACATATACCCTCTGCCTCCCACCCCCCGGGAACAAAAGATCCTGGGGAAGGGCCGGAGGGAGGAAAGAGGAAACCTGAGTGGTACAAAGGGCTCCTCTGGCTTCTCTGAGCCCAAGATGCTGTGGAGGAGACAAGACCTGCTGGGAGGCCCTCATTCCGTCTGCTTGGTGCTGGCTCAGCCCTCCTACCACCGGCTGGCTGTCTGCTCTGTTAGGGTCTGCCCGCATCCCTTGCCAGTCTTGACCGGTGAACTCACAGTAGCCCCATGTAAGCTCCACTTTGTGGCCCTCTGTGTAATAGGTCCCTAAAGACAGCTTTGTCAGGAGAAGGAGTAAGAGCTGAAAGTGGAGGATGAGAAGAGAGAGGACTTTAACCCCCAGTTCTCACTTCCAACTGCTTTAATTTACGACATGAGCGGTGGCCGGAGGTCACCTTCCTGATCTTTGGCTCGGGTTGGCGTGGATGATCATTCAACCAATGTCTGTGAGTTCCCTGTATGCAAGGAGTCAAGGTGATCTGAGCAAACCTGAATCCATGCTCACAGGGAGCTTACAGCCTAGTGGAGAAAACAGGCATCCCCCCACCATTGCAGTTGAGTATGTTTTTATAAACGGCAGTAAGTGGGACTGAAGCCTGGAAATGCAATATACAAAGGAGGCCTCCGTGGTCTGAAAGGTCGGTGTTGCTCCCCTGGAGGAAGCAGTTCCAGCTGAGATGTGAAGGTGAAGCAGAGTTGCCAGTGCCAGGTGGATGAAGGAACAGCAACTTGCAGGAAAATGGGGTGGCTGTGCAAAGGCCCTGTGGTGGGAAGAAGCATGTCCTGTTTGAGGACCAGAGGCCTGGATGGCTGGAGGGCCAAGAGCCAAGATGAAGCAGGAGAGGTGGGCAGGGCCAGACCACACCTGACCTTCTGAGCCAAGGTAAGAATTTTGGTCTTGATCTCAAGAAAAGTGGGAAACCAGTAGCTGAAACCAGCAAGAAGAAGGCGAGGGGTTAGAATGGAATTTTCACTTCAAAGAGGTCTCCCAGCTATTCAGTAGAGACCAGATGGCGAGCATCTATGTATTCAGTGGGTCATCTTAGTCCCTAGCTGTTTGTTTCCTAGCTCCCACTTTGGTGAGCTGAAGTCTGTAGAATGTGCTGGAGCTTTATTTTTTTTTTTCTTTTAATATTTATTTATTGGGCTGCACCAGTTCTTAGTTGAGGCATTTGGGATCTTCAGTCTGCATTGCAGCATGTGGGATCTTTAGCTGTAGCATGTGAACTCTTAGTTGTGGCCTGTGGGATCTAGTTCCCTGACCAGGGATTGAACCCAGGGCCCCTGCATTGGGAGCTCGGAATCTTAGCCATCGGCCCACCAGGAAAGTGCCCTGTGCTGGAACTTTATGAAGAGATGTATATATACCTAAATGCTGATCACCCACTCTCACCCTTGAAGTGACATGCCCCTTTTTCTAACTCAGCAGAGACTCATGTAGTTGTGACCACCTTCCTGGGAGGTGCCAGGAGGGGCAGCAGCTGAGTGGATGGATGGGGAGAGCAGGGAGGAAGAGGGGGCTGCTGCAGAGGGGCATGGAAGCTGAGGCGGGACTTCCAGAGGCTCAGGCATCGTCCTGGCTCTTAAAAAAATAAATATATAAATTTATTTATTTATTTTGGCTGTGCCAGGTCTTAGCTGTGGCACATGAGATCACGTTCCCTCACCAGGGATTGAACCCAGGCTCGCTTGCCTGGGAGTGTGGAGTTTTAGCCACTGGACCACCAGGGAAGCCTTGTGCTGGGTATGCAAGCACAATGACACAGACACAGGCATGCAGCCTTCATGGACTGCAAGTGCCTCTTCCCCGTTCCGGCTAATGGCTCCCCTGTCTCTGTTTTTCCAGCCGCTGCTCCTACAGAAACTGCTTTTGTTTAGGATGGAGCTCTTTCTCTTTCATTTCAATGGGCATTCATTGATCTTGGACTTTAGATAAGGATGCTCTAAGGGCAAAACCCCCACAGTTTCCTTGCCCTGGAGCAGCCTGCCTACTGGGGGAGCCAGGTACATAAACGATTGACCCATAGGAGGCAGAATGAATCAAGCACCAAGTGTAGGACCACTGGACAACCCAATGTGCCTGGGACTGTTTCAGCTGAAGCCTTGCAGTGTCAGTCATTCAGTTGTGTCCGACTCTTTGCAACCCCATGAACTGTAGCCTGCCAGGCTCCTTTCTCCTTGGAATTCTCCAGGCAAGAATACTGGAGTGGGTTGCCATTCCCTTCTTCAGGGGATCTTCCCAACCCAGGGATCTAACCTGGGTTTCCTGCATTGCAGGCTGATTCTTTACCATCTGAGCCTTGAAGCCTGTAGCGTCTGTGTAATTATTCATCATGCTCTCCTCCCCTCTCAAAATTGTTCAGTTTTGGTGTTACCTTGTACATGGTCACCCTAACAATGGGTCACGGCTGTACAGAAGTGTAATCCACTCTTTGCAGGAATCCAGGAACCATCACATGATGACTAATGTTTCACCTGAGCCCTTGAAGAATGAGCTGTATTCCAGCGACTAGAGCAGGGAAATGTAACATCTTCATCCTGGAAAGCAGGACCAGCGCAGGCCTTGCAGAGGCTGTGAGGAGATGAGCACAGCTTACCTGCAACCTATGAGGAGATGAGCACAGCTTACCTGCAACCTAGACCAGCTCAGCAAACATTTTGTGGAACGTTTCAGACAGTAAATATTTCAGGTTTTACGTTGTGTCGCAACTGCTCAACTGCCACTGGTGTGGAAAGTAGACCTAGGCCAGAGTAAAGGAACAGTGGGGCCGTGTGCCAATAAAACTTTATTTACAAAAAACAGCAGCCTCAGGATTTGGCTTGGGTGCAGTTTGCCAGCCCCGACCTAGAGGTTGTGAAGGAGAGTTACAAGACATATGCCTGGAAAGTTCAGCAGGACTTGAGGGGTCTCAAATGGCTGACTTAATTATGTCAATAATACAAGTATTTGTGAACACAGGAGTGACTCATCGAAGGAGGGCCTAGGAGGCCCTAGGAGGGCACTGGAGAGAAGCAGGGAGCAGCGAGGAAAGCAGACGGGCTGGGGCCACCCAACAGCCCCCTGGAGGCAGGTCTGTGGATGTGGCCCTGGACTCTGATCGTCCCCTGTAGGACCTTCCCTTTTGTTCTGACACACACACCCCTCCCACTGCCTGTCCTCAGGGGCTCACACTCTTGTAGGCAGACACTGTGACAAGTGCCAGCCCCTCCTTTCCCGTGGAGCCAAGGCAATTGGAGACCACCCTCCCCTCGCCTCCCGGCTACGCAGGACGGCTGGTCAGGGTCTCATGACCACGGGGGTGCCCCGGGACTGCCCCCGCTCCATCCCCAGCACTCCCAAGGGATGGACTCTGGTGTCTTCACGGTTTAATTATTATGGCGGACTCCTTGCTGCAGAGCTGGAAGGGGGCGCAGTTAGCCATCTGATACCACCCACGTGTCCCCCAAGCCCACCGTTCCTGTGAACATCCCCACAGAACAGACCACCCACGTGTCCCCCAAGCCCACCGTTCCTGTGAACATCCCCACGGAACAAACCACCCACGTGTCCCCCAAGCCCACCGTTCCTGTGATCATCCCCACAGAACAAACCACCCACGTGTCCCCCAAGCCCACCGTTCCTGTGAACATCCCCACGGAACAAACCACCCACGTGTCCCCCAAGCCCACCGTTCCTGTGAACATCCCCACGGAACAAACCACCCACGTGTCCCCCAAGCCCACCGTTCCTGTGATCATCCCCACGGAACAAACCACCCACGTGTCCCCCAAGCCCACCGTTCCTGTGAACATCCCCACGGAACAAACCACCCACGTGTCCCCCAAGCCCACCGTTCCTGTGAACATCCCCACGGAACAAACCACCCACGTGTTCCCCCAAGCCCACCGTTCCTGTGAACATCCCCACGGAACAAACCACCCACGTGTCCCCCAAGCCCACCGTTCCTGTGAACATCCCCACGGAACAAACCACCCACGTGTCCCCCAAGCCCACCGTTCCTGTGAACATCCCCACGGAACAAACCACCCACGTGTCCCCCAAGCCCACCGTTCCTGTGAACATCCCCACAGAACAACTGGAGATGTCCTCCCACACTGTGGAAGGCCCAGCTTCTCTGGAGTCCCAGAGAGAAGGGGCATTAGGATCTGCTGGTCTTGTTTTGCTGCAGGGTCTTGTCAAGCAGAAAGCCCTGCTCCCCTTCCTCCCTCGGTCCTGGGGTCCTAGGCATGCGGCCTCCTCGGTCCCCCAGCACAGCTCTCTCCACTGTGGGCAGGCCCCTTCTCTTTCTTTCCTGTAACAAAGCTGCTGCCTGGGTACATTTTTCCTGGTACCAGGCTCACTCACCCCAGGTGGCAGATGGCTAACTGTGCCCTCTTCCAACACTGCAGCCAGGGTCTAACCCCAGGCATAACTTTAAGTTGTTGTTGTTTAGTTTTTGCGACCCGCCAGGCTCCTCTGCCCATGGGATTCTCTAGGCAAGAATACTGGAGTGGGTCGCCATTTCCTTCTCCAGGGGATCTTCCTGACCCAGGGATCGAACTCAAGTCTCTTGCACTGGCAAGCAGATTCTTTACCACTGAGCCACCTGGGAAACCCATAACTTGAAGGGCGTGCCCCCAAACTCAGCAATCAAGAGAAATCATACTTTAACGCAATATTTTTCGACATCCAAGTTAATGACAAAAATACATGATAAACAAAGCACCAATATTTTCAACACTGGCAGAATCAGTATTACTGATTCTTCCTTTCAAGTTAAATTCAGATGTGTCTAAGCATGCTTATGGGTCCTGATTTCATCCCCATTACTGAGGTTCTGGGAGCACCCTTAAATTTTGTGGCCAAGGCAGGTACCAGTGGTCCCAGCCCCAGGAGATGCCAGAGGAGAGGGTATGGTTCTATGATGTAGGAGATAATAAGTTCTTTAAATCCCTCTCCTATCCTCACAAAAGAAATTCCTCTTCACTGTCCATTTTCTCCTTCACGGCCTGGCTTGCCACCTTTTTACCTGTTCTCCCAACCAACACCTTCCTGCTCCTCCCTTCTGCTCTGAGTTTTATGCTCCTCTGTCTTTATAAGGCTCTGGCCTAGATTCGCTGGGAACTGAGTGGGGAACTTTCAATTCCCCATACTCCCTTTCGTTTACCTTTTCTCCTTTGCCCTTGTTTTCTGACCCTGTGTATTTTATTTACTGCCTTGTTATCACGTGTCCACCACTACCCTTCTGGTCTTCTCCCAGACCAGAAAGTAAACCCCAAGAATGCTGAGATTTTTATCTGTTTTGTTAACAATTGTGAACAGTTCCTGGCCCAAAGCAGACACTCAATAAACATTTGTTGAATGAGTGAATAACAATTGAGTTCCCTTTTGTTTTCCTCTTTCCCCTCCTGGAGTAGCCTGGCTTCCCTTTTAACAGCCAGAAGACCTTAAACCTTTTTCCTAAATGAAAGAACATCTGCCCTGGGCCTCCACCCTAAGCTGTGCAAAAAGGCAGCAGAAGCTTTATAATCACAGTTTTTACTTAACAAGTCCAAGCTGGCCAAAAGAAACAAATATTTTCCAGAGCAAATTTCAGGGTTTCCAAGGTATGTTGTACATTTCTTTCCTTTTTAATAGAGAGTGATGTCCAAGAGAAGATTTAAACTTCTTGTAAGTTGAATGAATACTGATTCTTTTTGTGACCTTGGCCAAGATACTCTAAGTCTCAGTTTTGATTATTCCATCTGTAAAATGGGTGTATTGATTCCAGTACCTCCACAAAGTCACAAAGTCACTGTCTAGCTCAAGCAAAATGTTAAAAGCTAGCTGGACCTGCTTTGGGATATATAATCATCGTGCGTACATAGAGGTGTTCGAGGTCTCATTAGCAGCTGGCCAAGCTTCCCAGGTGGCACAGTGGTAATGAGCCCACCTGGAAGCACAGAAGATGCAAGGCACTCGGGTTCTGTCCCTGGGTGGGGAAGATGCCCTGGAGGAGCAAATGGCAAAGCACGCCAGGGTTCTTGGAAACCCCATGGACAGAGGCATCTGGAGGGCGGTAGTCCATGGGACTGCAAAGAGTTGGACACGGCTGAGCACACATGCAGAGGGCAGAACTGTTGCAGGAAGAAGGACCCCTTACAGGGCCCGAAACTGGGCTCTTGTCTAATCGGAAATGAATTGTCTGAGGAGACACATTCTGACAAAGCAAGAGACTTTATTGGGAAGGGCACCCGGGTGGAGAGCAGTAGGTAAGGGAACCCAGGAGAACTGCTCTGCCTCGTGGCTCACGGTCTTGGGTTTTATGGTGATGGGATTAGTTTCCGGGTGGTCTTTGGCCAATCATTCTAATTCAGAGTCTTTCCTGGTGGCGCATGCATCACTCAGCCAAGATGGGTGCTAGCAAGAGGGATTCTGGGAAGTGGACAGACACGCGGTGTCTCCTTTTGACCTTTCCCGAACTCTTCTGGCTGGTGGTGGCTTATTAGTTCCATATTCCTTATCAGGATCTCCTGTCATAAAACAACTCATGCAAATGGTTACTATGGTGCCCGGCCAGGGTGGGCGGTTTCAATCAGTGTGCTTCCCCTAACAGAACCACAGTTCACCTGATGGGACCACAGCGGAAGTGACCACCCGTCCTATATTTCTTTCTTTACTTTTGGCTGTGCTGGGTCTTCATTGCTGGGCTGGGGCTTTCCCTAGTTGTGGCGAGAAGGGGCTACTCTCTAGTTGTTTTACTTGGGCTCCTCATTTTTGCAGACCATGGGCTCTAGGGCGCGCAGGTTTCAGTAGTTGTGGCACACAGGCTGAGTTGCCCCACAGCACGTGGAATCTTCCCAGACCAGGGATCGAACCCATGTCCCCTGCATTGGCAGGCAGATTCTTAACCACTGGATCACCAGGGATGTCCCCAGTCCTAAACTTCTTACTTTATAGATGGAGGAACGGAGGACCAGGCGGTGATGTACCCAGGGTCACATCCCGAGCTCAACCAGGAGGGTGATGGATAGAAGCCAAGTGTCCTGATTTCTGGTGCAGTTCTGGACTCTCTGAATTCCTCAGTTGCTGATTCCACAAGAACAGGGATCCTGGGTGCTGCTCTCAGCCCAGGTCAAAATCACCGTGGATGGAGGGGAATTCTTGCCTTTCAGCTTTCCTTTCAAATCCCAGCCCTTCCCAAGCAGCCTAGGGAGGGAGATGCTTTAAATAAAACTCCTTTCCCATCCCTTCCGTATCTGAGATTCATTTCTGAGAGGCATCTAAACGAGAATTTACCGACATTTCATTTCTCAGCTTTTTCCTGGTTCCTTTGTGGTCCTCTAGGCACTGGTTATGACCGAAGCCTTGGAGACGCAGGCAGCGTGAATCCAGAGTGGGGACTTGGTGCCCAGGGCGCAGGTCATCTGATCGGCAGCCTCTCCAACGCTGTGTGATCATCACAGGAGGGAGCAGGGCCCTGCCAAGGGCACGGAGGCACGGAGAGATTAATTTCTTCAATGTCAAGCTTCCTGTGCGTCTCTTAATGGCTGAAATTTACATGTGTGGGGGAAAATCGCAATTTCCCCTGGAAGGCACAGAGGGGAAGTCACAGCCATCAGACTGTTTTGCAAGTGGGTGGGTCCACAGGGCTCTGAATTGACCACACTTGCAATCTTTTGGTGTTTTACAGGGGGTATGGCCACGGTCGTGACAGAGAACTGGAATTTATGCCTTTGCATGTCTGTGTCTCTGGGATTATTCATGTGTGTGTGTGTGTTGCCATCACTTCTATCTTTGTGACCATGTGTAGATCAATGTGTGTTTCTTTTTAAAAAAATTATTTCTCATCTCCTGCATAAATTATTCCAAGTAAAAGGCCATCCGGAGCTCAGTTCCTTGCATCCTTTTTCAATAAAGCAATATTATCACAGCCTAGTCCCAAAACTGGTCCCAGGAGAGGCTTTTCCTAGATTCTTTGTCAAACGAAATGTCACCGACTCACCAAATGATGAGAAGAAGAATTCTTCTTGTTTATTTCCCAAGTGAGGCAGAGCAGCAGCAGCTCATCCTCTGTGCATCCTCTCCGCTGGCTGGGCAGGGAGGGGGACAGGTGGGCAGGGGGGCAGAGGAGGCCAGCCTTGGACTCTGCCCTTTCCCTTCACCCCTTAACTAGCTTTGTGACTATGCAAGTAACTGTTCTAACCTCAGTTCCCTCTTTCAAAAATGGGGACTAATAATACCTCCTTTACAGGGTTGTTGCAAGGATTAAGTCATAAACTGGGTGATGTAGTTCTTTCT